ACTCCTCCGTACCTGGCCTGAAGCCGCGTCCAGGTTCATCTCCCTCTTTATTGCTAGTTCTACTGTTCCCTCTTCACTGCTGGTATCGGCACCGGGACTGGACCCCGTCCCAAAAAGAAAACTAAAGGTATGAAAAAAAAAAAAAAAAAAAAAAAAAAAAAAAACTTAAAAATTAAAGGTGAAAAAAAAAAAAAAAAAAAAAAAAAAAAAAACCCGGGGGGGGGGGCGGAGAGAGGTCCGTTGGTATTTGGTCCCCGGGCCTACTCCGTGGGCCCGCGGTCGGAACCCCCAGCAATAAAACCCAGGGGGATAGTCCGGCAGGACCCGCACGACCCTCAACCCCTCGGCCCTTGCCTCCATGCGCTCTACTGCTCCGCTGCTTGTTGCCGGCTTCGATCCCGGGATCCGCCTGGTGAAAACTCAGTGACATAACCTATAGGGCTAAGCCCAAGCCTGGTACTGGCCAGCGCGGTATTCCATATGAACACGTGCGGCGCAGCCCCCAGGCCTCATTCCTGCCTCCCATTAGCACGCCACTGCTAGGCTCCTATGCCGGCTTGCCCGCTTTGCGCCGTGGCCGCCCCTCACCCTACCCCGCACGTTAGACTACCAGCGGTCTACCAAGGGCACCTCTCTTTCCTAGTAGCCAGAGTAAGGCCGACCAACTATGTTGGTTGCATAATCCAAAGTAGAAAAATCACACATGCGCCTTAATCTCGCCCGCCCACACCCGCTCCACTCTAATCAAGCAACTTACCTACGTAACCAAATAGACGGAGCCGCGTCTTGCGCAGTACACTCCAAACCTCTACCCGTACTTCCGGTCACTTGCAAAAACAAGGGCGGATACCCTTGTCAGGGTATTCGCGCCGACAGCTTACCGGACCATATTAAGCGATGTCCCCATCACTTCGCCAAATCGAAAGCTACAAATTCCTCCATAACTCCAAATGCTGACAAGACAGGAACCAATCCGATCAGCTGACAGACTCAGGGTTGAGGCCTCCAACAATCCAAGCCCTTGTAACTATATGCCGCCAGGGTTCTAACCGGGGTCTCCATTGTCATGACACTAGGACGCCGGTGTAGTAGACCTACGTACTACAGCATAAGTCTCAGCGGCCCCTCTTACCCGTCCTCTCCCCTTTGTCCTAGACAACCACCGACTTCTTGTTAGGTGCCCTGGGCCCCTATCCTGCGAACAGGACTTCGACCAAGGGTGCGGGCCCTAACCGAGATCTAAGACGACGTTTTCGCCTTCCTCCCACAATTCTCACACCTCAACTCACCTGCTGCAGTCTAGTACAGGTAGGCTAGGTCTCCATCTTGGCCCACCGTAGTCTGGGCAATCGTGCCAGGTCTACGGCCCACCACGCTTGTTAGTTCAGCGGTGGTGCCCTCGCAGGTTGCGCCGCGATAGCCTTTCTCCTGATAAGCATTCAATCAGGACTCAAAAAAGACTCGACTCGACCCTTATCCCACGCCGGTCCGCAGGAGTAAAACCTTCCTAGGTGGCCACACCCCTTTAAGTCTTTACTCCCTAGGCCCGATGTAGGCCCGCTGGTCAGGTTGTGCCAATCAGCAGCCGACACTAGGGGTTACGCCCTAGTGATGCTAAACTTTACCGTTAGCCTGGTATTCTCATACATGTTCCAGGATTAGCACATGTGGCTGGACGGTGGGTCGCAACAATACAGGCCCCCCGCGGGACTATGCAGAGGCATGTCACATATAAAAGGTATTTACCAGCTCTCTGTGGGACAACACAGGGGATCGTGGCAACCTCTCCACATTTATAAACAGAATCACTGGCAGTTGCACAAGGCCGAGACTTCCTTACTTGATCAGAGCAGAAAGCCATGCATCCAAGTGACGTCTCCCAAAAGAAACTATTTGCGGCCTCTCCAAACTCTCAACAGTGGCCAAGCAACAAACATGGTCCTTCTCGTCAGGCTTTATCATACCAACCTTGCTTACCATGCCACCGATCTGGTAACCACCCTTCATACGAGGGAGGTCTCACTCCATAGGTCTCCCAACATGCAGCGGGTTGCCTCCTCAAAAAAACTAGGCGCCCCTACCATAGCCCAACTCAACTTGAGAGACCAACTTATGGGTCCTCATCACAACTCAACAACATACCTTCGGCATGACAAGCATTTGAGTCTCAAGGACTCACAAATCCAAGGGATCCTTATACTTTCACAAGGACAGATCCCCGTTTCCACCTCTCTCTCGGCCTGACCTGGTTCCCGGAGTGACTCCATAGGTATGACCTCTTCCAGACTAGGTTGCTCCAGAGCGTGGGCGGCCAGATGGCTATCAATCAGACTGTCCGCCTCCCTTCTCAGACTGGCCCCCTCTGCCTCACTTGCCTCCATTCCTGTCGGCGATAGGGCTGTCTCCGRCACTGAGATTGGGACTTCCTCCCTTTGTACTTTCTTYCTCGTATCTAGCGGGCTCTCGAGTGGACTATCGAGCCTCAGCCCCACGGCTGGTCCCTGGGGGGGAGTGTCTTCCTCAACTTCTATGATCTCCTCCCCAATCCAGTCTTTCGTAGCGCTCGGCCCCTCCTCTTGTTCAGGGTCTGGAACCTTTTTCTTGTGGTACTTCCGCGATGACCTCAATGCGCCCCTCACTCATCGGCGGCTCTCTCCACTGGGCAGCGTCCAGATGTGCCTCTAACTCTTGCAATGACTCTTCATCGACTGGTATCTCTTCCTGTATATATTGTGGCGCTTCCCCCAGTCCTCCTCCAGTATAGCGGTGGAACTCTACTGGCCCCAGTCCACCCTCGGGGTGCTCCTCCTGTCGTTCTGCCTCAGGCATGCCCTCCTCTTCCCGCCTAGCAAGCGCCTTCCGTCCTCTCCACGAGGTTCGGTCCTCAGCGGGCTCAGGTTCCCTCTACCTCCCGCTCTTGAGGCGCCTTTCGACTCTAGGCCGAGGTGGTTCTGGCTGCCGGAATGCCTCCCTCAAGTGCGCTCTATAACCATCCCAATCTCGGGCCATATCCTTGATCTGTCTGGCCAAAGGTCTTTTCGCCTTTCGGGTCCACAGGGGTAACGTGATCATCCACTCGCTTCGCAGTATCGCCTGGTCCTGCATGAATTGCTCGAATGCTGGGATGAAGTCATCTGCATTCCCAATCTTCAGTCGAATAGGCCTGCCATCAGGCCCCACAGACGATGGTCGTAGTTCCTGCATCCGCGCCTCCACTTCCGACCTCGTTTGAGCCCCCCTGCGAATCTGTGCAATGGGCTCAATAAACCTGCCAACTCCCCTCAACCTCTCGATCGTCTGAGTGACGATCCACCCCATATGGTCAGCGTGGCCCCAGAACTCGTCCATGAATAACTCGATATCCCCATCGTTATATACTGGAGTCCTTGCCCGACGATAAGGCTCATGCCGTCCATGTCCTCCTAATGCTCCCGCTGGCCGTCGTGGTGGTCGTGTCCCCCTCCCTCCTCTTGGCATGGCTGCAAGTCAGTTCTGCACAACAGGCGAAGGAGACAACAGGCACGCGCCGGGGTAAGCAAGCAGGCGACGAAGAGACACACTCAGGCCAAACCAAGCACATGCCCCCAAGCAATCCTTCTAACCTACAAACCCATCTATTCCATTCTAAGGGGACTGGGTTGCCTATCTCACCTCTTCTCTGGCCACGAATTTCTTCAACCTCGTCCCTGACACCCATTCTTTCCACTCTGTTCCATTAAGCTCCTCGATCTGGTATGCGCCAAACTCTCCACATCGCACGATCCGATAGGGAACCAACCAGCTCTTGTCCAGTTTCCTGGACCATTGTTTTCCCAGGGATGAATCATACAAGAGCACGACGTCCCCAACTACCAAGGGTACCTTTCTTACACGAGCCGACTGGTCCCAGCGAGCCTTATCATCCATACGGCTCCTCTCTACCTGGTCGGATGCCGCTTGGACCCTTTCCTCAATCGCGCCCACCTGCCAAGCTCGAATATCGAGCAATTCTTCGAAAGACAGATTTACCTCCAAGTCCTGACGCCTCCAAGTCTTTAGGAAGCTCTCGATTGGGAAGGTAGCATGTCTTCCATACCACAGCGTGGCCGGCGCGTACTTAGTGATCCTTTTCACTGTGATGTTCTCAACAAAGCGAGTAGAGTCGTAATGGTACTATGACCTCTTTCCACCGGAGCATTTGCCTGTGGGTGGGCGGCCGTGGTGTAGTTAGCCACTACCCCATACCTAGACAGCAGCTCTTGCACCTCCTGACAGGTGAACTCTGACCCCCTGTCCATTACGAATTCCCTAACGAACGGGTAGCGTAGGTAATACTCCTCGATGCAGCTGACCAAAACTGGCCTAGTCTTCGTACGGATTGCCCGTCCATCGACAAAGCCAGATAGGTTGTCGTGCGCATCGAAGATATAGTTGTAGCCATGATCTCCAAGGGGCATGAACAACAAGTCGAGGTGTACTACGGCCCCGACCTCTCTCTCCAGCCTTGGATATAGTGACTCTCCTGGCCTTAGACGAGACTGCTCCTGGCACGGCACACAGGAACGACAGAATTTCCCAACCATCTCCATCATCCCGTCCCAGTAGTATAGCTCACTTATTTTGGCATATGAGGCAGTAATTCCCCGGTATCCGCCTGCAATGCCATCGTGAAGCGCTGCTATGACGTCGATCTGACGGTTGCGACCACATACCACCCGCCTGGGGTTTCCTACTTTCCTTCTTACGAAGAGATGACCGTCCCTTACTAGGTAGCGATCCCTCATCATCTGCGCCCTATGACTTGCGTCCCTATCACGCATCTCGCAGGATAAGAGAAGTCCCAGCTCTAGGTAAATCCCTTCATACTCCTCTACGCGGACTGCCTCCTTGATCTCTCCCTCTTCAAACTCGTCATCCTGGCTCTCCAACACAGTATCTCTTCCTTCGGCCGGATTCAGTGAGCTTTCCAAATCAAGGGACTCATGCAGAAGCGCATTAACGAGGAGGTACATCCCTCCCATTAATTCCTCGTGGTGTTTCATCTTATCCGGACCCATCTCTATCGTCAGTACCTCATCCATCATACAATGGCTACCTGTGAGTGCCAACTTGGTCATCCATTGGACGTCCTTACCACCCGAGGGATCCTCCTCTTCGAAAGGCTTGAGCACCAACTCAGCTTTCTGCTCATACCCCTTAGGCGCGTGCCAGATAGGATGGCCAACGCAGCTGGGGACTTGTTGGGACCACTTATTGATGTGGAGGCGGATGTCCTCGTCCTGGTCCAGAAAGCCATCAACAGGGGGCGTATGCTCTACAGCTTCCCCGTCCTGCCTATCCCAGTTGATGCGACTTAGCCCATCTGCCCTCTTCTTGTTCCCTGGGATCCGTTCCAACTCGAAGTTGGATATCCAGATGTATGTCAACCACCTGGCAACTGTTGGATCGGACGGAACATAATTCCTCAGGGAGAAAGCCAGAGCCGTTGGGTCTACCCTCAAGATGAACCTTCTGCCAAAGATGTAGTTTCGAAAAATCCGCAGACAATGAAGGACGGCGAGAGTTTCCCTCTTGAATTGGGAGTAGTTTCTCTCTGACGTACATAGCGTGCGACTCTCAAAGTGCAACGGCCTCTTCTTCCCCTTGATGTCTGCTTGGATTAGAACTCCACCCAAGGCCGTCGGTCCTGCATCGGTTTCCACAATGAATGGTCTCGTCTCCGTAACCGGACCAGCTTCCTTAATTGCTCTGTCTTTGCCGCAAAGTTCTTGACGAAGGACCTCCAGAACCCACACGTACCTAGGAAGCTCCTTACATCTGTTACAGAACGGAATGGCACCGGCCACTCAACTATCTTATCCGTCTTCTTAACATCCGGCCGCCGACCGTTCTCATTACAGACGAACCCCAAGATAATCGCTTCCCTCATACAGTGCTTAGACTTAGGCCGACTGGCCGTAAGGTTGTACTCCTCAAGCAAGCCCAAGACTTTATCAAGGTCCTGAACGTGTCTCCAAACAAACCGCCTTACTCCAGGCGGGACCTCATCGTCTTCCCTTTTTCACGGCCCTTTCACTGCCAGGTCATCGATGTATGGCTGCGTGATGTGTGGACTAACTGTCTGCATGACCCGGATCATATTCCTCTGGACCATTGTCACCGCATTCGACCACCCTTGCGGAGCCACATTCATGTGGATAAGCCCTCGAGGCGTGTGCATAGCTGTCACTGGTCGGTCTGGCGGGTAGACCGAAAATTGGTCATATCCGGAATAGAGGTCAATAAGTGAAATTATCGGCCTCCCAGCGCACGATTCCGACAGCGCATCAGCATTTGGTAGCCCACCTGCATCCCGCACTGTCACCACATTCAGTCTCTGTAAGTCCTGTACCCACCTTAGTGTCCCATTGGGCTTAATAAAACAAAACCACGGGGATGCGTAGAGTCCGCTCGAGTAGTCGGCGACGTGCGTACGTATTTTGCCATCGAGGTAGTCCACTACCTTCTTTTCTTCGTCCGGATCCGGGTATCGCGCCCCTCTTAGATTCCATGGCTCGTGCGGCACGGTATGGATGCGGATCATTGGAATCTTGTCCATATCCAACCTGCCATGCTCCTCGTCGCTGAACGCATAGGCGCGATGTCTTTTCTTCATCAGCTCCGCCATCAGGGCTCTTTCCCGCGGCAGTAGGAAGTCCGGTTCTCCCACTATCAACTTCCCTTCATTTTCCTCATTGACACGACATGGCCCTTCTGACGCATTTTCCCTCATCCGCCGTATCAACGCTCGCTCCCGCTCGTAGTACACCTCCTCGTCCTCGGTAACCAGAACGGGAACTGGGCGACACTTTTTGTCTATCGTTTTGTATCGCCTTTGGACACCCTGCTTGAGCCGGCCCCTAAAAAAGGCTGACTTGGCACTCGTGCTTGTGCCTGTGCCACTGCCGGATCCATTCCCCCCTTGGGAAGCCGGTAAACCAGCTCCGTTTCCCCTACCTGGGGATACTCCAGAACCTGCTCCCTCAACGCCTGAATGGCATCCGGATCGGCCATCTCATGCGTGGACACTATATCCATGGCCTTTCCCACATCCGACAGGCTGAGCGAGAAGGCTTCACCTTCTACTTCGTCCTCGGGCTCTGCCATAAGCCTCCGATGCGCGTCTTCTGACTCCTCAATCGTGAAGGAGCCAGGGTTAGGCCTGTTCCTGAGGCTCCTTGGCCCAGTGTTCCGGCAGGTAATCACTTCGTAATTCCCGCATGCTGGATCACATAGAATCAGGATCAATGACCCATTATATATCAAAGTCTCCGTCCTTGATAGGAAGGACCTCCCCAGGAGGATGCTGTGGTCCACATCAGGCATCTCAAAGAAACAGGCCCGCGCTTTCACCCTGCCAATCTCCAGTAGCACATTTGAGGTTGTTCTACAGAACACCGCGTTGTTGTTGGCCCCGTGCAGGATGCCACAATCTGAACTGTCTACCTCTAACCCAAACTTGATGGCGTCGGCCTCTCGAATGATATTCATCTCCGTGCCGGTATCCACCATGGCTGTGCATTTGGAGCCCTTTACCGCTAGGTCCACTACGCCACAAGCTACACACTTCCAATCCATTTTTGTCCCTGGCTCTGCCCATTCCATCTCCTTGGGCAGGATCACACTGAGGTGAACATTTGGTATCAGTCGTCTTGACAGTCTGCCCTTCAACTCATTGCGGAGCCTGGGCGCAGACGCTAGGATCTCTTTCAGGGTCATTAAATCATTATGGCCCTCAAGCAGCCTGTCAATTACTCGCTCTACATCAAATCCTTCCTCTAGCCGGACCGCATACTTCTTCCTCTTTGGCGGTACGTCTCGCATAACCAGTTCGGCCTCTCCCCGACTTTCTCTTTTCTTGGCTCGCTGTTCGGCCCTTTGATCTTCTTCCTGACGTAACCGGTCATCTTCCCCTTCATCATCATCATCATCATCCTCTACCTCTACAGTTTCCTTCCTCTTTTCAAGTTCTGGTTCCTTCCGAGGAGGTCCTTGACTCGCACCTGCCTTGGCTTGACTTCGAGTGCGGGCCACCTGAGCCAGCCTAACTTGCGGGGTAGGGGGCCTAGTCATCATCCCTGACCGCGGGCCCGTCCCCACAGTGGTCACTCCGGGCCGCCCCGGCATGGTTTCCGGACCAGAGTCATAAAGGAAGACCTTGGGGAGGTTAGCCCTCCATTCCTTTACTCCCTCGCAGAGGTCTACCAACTTCCGTTGGTATCTCCCTACCTTGTCCAATAAGTCCTCTATCTTATTCAGCAGGATTACTGCCGGCTCTACCTTTTCATCGTCACCCTCATCGTCCGACTCGATGATTTTGGGTGTCTCTCTTACATCCCCGGCCTGTAGCCTCTGGGTTACTTCCTCGTCGCTTCCTACTTCCTCAACTCCAATTGGCAGCTCTTCCTTCTCCTGCCATAGCCTGAACGTGGCAGGGGGTGGCTGTCGTGCTGCCAACCTTCGCTGGGCCTCCGGCCTAACTCCACCAGCCTTCCTATCAATAAAATCTTCGAATTGGTCGTAAATGTCCCCATCCATATTAGAATAAATCAGTCCATTTTTCTCGTCCTCTCTCCGTATGTTGCAAAACCTAATAGTGTGACCTTGCTGCTCACAGTGCTGGCATATAGCACTTCTCCAATCAAAACGGGCCCTTCSACCACCTTGATTCCCTTGGTTGTCTTGGCCGCCTTGATTGCCTTGGTCACCTTGGTTGCCCCATTGGCCTCCTAGGCCGCCTTGACTGCCCCATTGGCCTCCTCGGCCACCGCCATTCCTGCCACGTCCTCGTCCACCGCCCCTTCCTCCATTCCCCTGGTTCCCTTGGCCTTGACTACCAGYACCCGCCACACTGCCTTGTGAACTTTGTGTGGGCRTTGGCGTCGGTGGTACCGCTRRCTGAGTTTGGGCGGCGGGGTAGCTCGGAGGTGGCATACTTGTCTGGGGCCCAGCATAGGGTATTACCTGTCCAGAYGRCGCTGGGCCACCCCAGGGTRCATAGGTATTAACTAGGGGCCAYGGCCARTGCCCAAATGGTGGCACTGGTGCTTGCGACGGGYCCGCACTACTTGACGGCCCGGACGAGCTCRGAGATGCCGCTACCACTACTTGAGGCGCCTGGCCCTTTCCTGACCCTTGTSCGCCTTGTGCTAGATTGCGYTGCTTACGYTGCGCCTTCGTAAGGTGTGGAKGTACCGGCTCCTCCTCTTCCCATCCCTCCTKGGTAGCCTCCTCTAACACGGCCCCCTTGCCTTTTTCCCGGACTGCCGCCGTCACCTTCYGCTGTATCACCGGGTCTAGCCCTGCTAATATGTCGRTTATGATCTTCTTTACTCCTKGCGACCCAGCCGCATCCCTGTCCTTCCGTTTCTGCCTCTGTAGCCTCWCCTGGTGCTGCTCGACCTGGTCGAGGCCTCCAACCTCCRCCCCTCTGTCAATGGTGGCCCARGTAAGTTTGGCATTTCCTCCCCCATGGCTTGTTAGCTCAACTGTCTCAGATGCGGTGAGCAGTCCCAGGAAGACGGCGCACTACGCCTCCTCTGATATCCCATGTACCTTTCTCACCTTCTTTTTGAATTCTTGCAGGAATACTCCATTGGTGGTGAAGTCGTCCCTATTCATTGCCTCTAGGTCCGCCATAGTCAGCAGGCCATCCCCCAACCTATACTTCTGCTGCATTCCTTCCTTAAATTTAGCCCAGTCGCAGTTGGCGTCGTCGACCACCTTCTGTACTTCTGGATGGTGCTTATGGAGCACATACTGCAGGATGCGTTTGAATTTCGTCTCGTCTGGTACTCCCACCAAGGCTTGCTCCACTAGGTCCAGCCATTTAGAGACCCGTTCCCCATTGAAGTGGAAGGTGTTGACTTTGGGGACACTCCTCGGCGTTCTCTCCCACTTGTCCATCGCCTCGATGAGATCATCGAGGGTCAGGACCTTGCCTGAACTGTCGCCTATGCTGCCTGTCATCTTAGCAGCCTGTCCTTCACTTAACTTCCCTGTAGTAAGACGAGGTACACAGGCAACTTTATTCAGCACTCTCACTCCTGCATAAGCCTATCAAGCTAACCACTTAGCCCTTGGGCGTTTCAGACTTTAACTGACACCCACGTCCTTTTCGTTCCCAGACCTACATTCACAAGGTCTACCTAAGCTGTGAGTTTCTCCACATAGTTACTTTAGTCATGCAATCTCTCCTATAGCCCTACTTATAGACTCACTTCAAATCTCCCACTCATGTATGATTTCTTCCTTGTCCTAATACCCGGATGTCATTCCACCAGGGACAACGGCAGACAACCGTCATCCCCGGCAACGGTGCCACCTGTCGTGCACATCAGTCCGGCACCACTCATAGGTAGCACGGGACCCTCCCGGCCGCGTCACGCAGGAGTCAGAGTACACATCCTCATTGTGATATATACGTGGAGCTTCCGTAAGCCGCTCCGACCGGGTGCGCCAGCCATACCTCTCGCGAGCCCCTACAACAGGACAAGGCCTACGCGAGGCACGACTACCTCCACCTTACGGGAGTTGTCACCTCCCTTCGGTGGGCGTATCCCCGCCGAGCTACTAGTACACAGTACGAAAGCTGATCAGCTGCAATCGCAGAGGTGGACCAGCCGAGGGCGTTTCTCGTTCGCTGTAGCATAGGGGGTACGCGCGGTACTACGCCTCTATCGGACCCGCACGCGAACCGACATCTTGGGGGGCTGAGGTCCCAAGCGCGGCTCGTCGTTAGTCGACTAGGACGTATCTCACACGCCACGCGCACACCATTATAAGGTACATAAAAGTAAAGCACACGCACACATGCACACGAGTACTGAATGACGCAAAGGACGTACAACGCGACACCCTCCTAGTCCCTTAGTATCCATCCCATAACTTCCTGGAGCGGGAATCGGCTGAGAGTCGTGCGTGAGACGTAATCTAAAACCGCGCGGGCGTAGGCCTTCTCATATCGACTAGCAATGCCAACTCACACAAGCAGTCGTGAAGATGGCGTACTATGCAGTGCCCATAATCGAGCGGTCCCTCGTGGATCCGAGTACCGCTTATGACACTCAAGTGTCAGATTCGAAGTATAGTGAAGGTTCCGCCCTTCACGACATTGCACGGCTGAAGGACTAGCCGTGCGGCCGCCGCGGCACGTCCGGCTTTCGGCCCGAGTGCCCTGGCGGTCAAGGCAAATAGGCTCTGCCCGAGGGGGGTCCCCTTCAGTGCAGGGCCTAGGGCTTGGGATGCCCTGGCCAAGGACCTTGAATCCCGGCCCAGGACCAACGTCCGACTAACAATCTCCAAGAAACACTTATCTAAGTAATGGGGTCGTCTTTTCTCTATTAACCCAACCCCTGATTTACTCCTTAGCACGCGGCCCCCTTTCAGGTCACACAAGTACCTTACATAGGTACGCATACATACATATATACACACATATATACTCATATGGGAATGAACGTGTGACGATCACATCTCACAGTCATAGTGGGTCTCCTCATAACCATACCCATATATATAAGATCGCAGGGCAGTCCAATCCAATAATCCAAGCCCCAGAACATACCTGCAATCACATCAAAGAGTCAAGCAAAAGTCCATACACCACACGGAGTCAACTCCAACCAATCTCTATGCTCATACCCTTTGCCTCAGCCATGCAAGCCCCAACCTCCAACCAACCAACCTTAAGTAAATACTTAGTACCTTTGTTCAATGGCCATTCAATAAAAGTCTCGGTGAAACCTTAACAAAACAAAGAAGGGCTGAAGCCTCTTTAGGTTAAGTAAGGAGAGTGGGTTGAGGTTGAGTCGTAAACCGACGAGTCGGCAACCGACCTGTTGTCTGTGATAACAGAAGGTGATCCTAATAGGATTAAGCTGAGTCCAGCCCACGTCCTGAAGCGACTTGATAAAAGAGACCTGTAACACAAGCCAGGTCAATCTCAAGCTAAGTCTACACTCGCAGGGAGAGTAACCTTCACCTCCTGACCTTACTCGAGCCGTCATATCTACCAAGTCTAGGTCCACCTTTAGATAACACTCAGCGTTAGGTGGATCTCGCCGTAGCCTCCCCTACATAGGTCGTCACTTGTCCAAATATAGGCTAACTCCTCTAACTTAGGAAAATTTCGGCAGCGCCTCCCATAGGAAAAGTGTTATCGCAGAAAATATATTAGTCCAAAAAGTCAAACTTTGGATCCCAAAAAGTCAAAATTTGTCTAACTCCCTGACCTAGCAAAAATTTGGGTAGCATTTCCTTCAGAGAGGAAA